TTAGCTGACTGAATAATAGTAACAAGCCAAATCAAACCAGTGATTAAAGCTCATGGTATCACATATTTTGGCTATGGCTATGATTATGTAATTAGCGTCTTGAACAAATGAGAAAATTCTTGTAATAACATATGGTGAATACAAGGGTGGTTATTAAAAACTAAATGAATCTGGTGAAGAACCCAATATCATTAGTCAATGTCAGTCCATTACTGACACATCAGTTTGCTTCATGATTTTTTTCAAAATGGCTGACATGGCATTTTGTTCTGTTTTGATGCATCTTTGACATTACTTTGACATTACTTTTGATGCTCTTGTTTTGATTTTTAAAATGTCATCACTCATATTCTTGACTCACTGGACCAATTTTGTCAAACATTGATGCAAGAGCAAAGTAATTTGTTAATTGTTTTGAGCAAATTGTCTTGACATCTTCCACTTTTTTTCACAAATGTTGATTCATCCAGATACAAACTGTGGCTGTGTTATTGATAATGAATTGTTGTCCATGTATACTACATACTGTGATAGTCATATGTATAAGGGTGTCAGCTCACAAAATCATTCTTTTTTTTAAGGTACACTATTCTCTGGTTTATCTCTGATATTGATGTTGTCGCTTCTAAACATCTTTCTTGGATCTGTCTTGATACTCAAGGTTAGTATGCCTATATTCTGGTTCATGTCATAGTAACATTTATTGTGAAATATCACAGCTGGTTATTGTACAGTGATGTCATCAAACAAACAAAAACGTTGTGCAACTTGCTCGCAAGCTCAGACACTTCTGCTGCACGACCTTGGGTTGCAAAAGCTGTATGAAATCCATAAAGGATATTATTCAACAGTACCTATTAGTGGTATGTTCACTAGGGCCTGCTGTTATGACATTCTTTTGGTACTTATACTCTGTCTCTCTCTAGGTCAATTTGTATCTTGGATTGGCCATTATGTGTTTCTTTGTTCTCTATGATACCCAACTGATTGTGGAAAAATTCCGCCTTGGAGACGATGATTATATCTGGTGAGTATCCCCAAATTGAGGATTTAGTTTGTCAATGCCAGAAACTACAGTACACAGATGATAAGTCATTGACAGTGTTGTCAGTGAGATTGATTGATTGATTTATGTATGCATACATCCATTGAGTCTCTTTAAAGTATTATATTATTTTGCCATTTCATGTAAAATCAATACAAAAGAAATCATCATAATAACCCATACTTGCAATCATCTTTTGTCATGATTTTATTAAAACATTGAAACCAGCATGATGCCTCAATATATCACAATATTATGTGCTGTTGATTTATAAATATCTATTTTCTTTTTCCTTAGGCACTCTGTTGATTTGTTCCTTGATTTTGTTAATATTTTCCGCAAACTTCTCATCATTCTTGCCATGAATAAAGAGGTAGGATGCATTTACTTGCCCTCTGCACATTACAAATAAGATTTTGATTACACTTGAGGAAGCAGGAAGGGTGGTTTAATAATTGAAATCATTCTCTGTCTGTTATTTCATTCAAACCTCTATTTACCATATATTGTTTGAAAGTTTGGATATATTGGAACACATTCATACCATGTCAAAATGACTAAATCCATGATTTCCAGAAAACACTGCAGTAAATCTGGCTAAAATTTACAGAATGTAAATTTGAACCAAGTGGCACTAACATAGTAGATTTGATGGGGTTCCAGTGAGACAATTTCATTCAGTTTTAAAAGTTGATAAAA